TATCGCCTAGTGGTCGTGTACATGAAGATGATGCTCCTTTTAAACTTGAAGCTGAATCCTCAAAATATTGTCGGATTGCCTCTAAGTCCCCTTGATGTGCTTCTATTAATTTCCATAATGTATAAGCACTATCAAAAGAATCAAGTTTGTTAGCAAAAGATAAGCCAAAAGAATCAATTAAAAATCTTAACAAGGACTTGTTCATAACAAACAATCTATTATCATTACTACTCCACTTGGATTTCTCCATAGTGGGTACAATATAAGCGCATTCAATAATTTTCCATATATCGATATTTGTAGATTTAGCAAAAATGTTAAATTTATCACACCATTATTCATAGGGGAAATTACTAATTCTAGAAGCAATGTTAATAGCATAACCAAGACTAGGTGCACCGTGCATAACCAAGACTAGGTGCACCGTGCATGTCCATGAAAGTATTCACTCTTTGTTGACGCACTACAACTTTGACAAACTTATATTCTTTAATACTAACTAACCATCATCTGTTTTCAGCTCTTCGAACCTATAAAAACAAAGAGAGACAAGGAAAGAGGAAAATTGTTCATAGAGATAATGGTATCTATAGCATTGCTTCCTTTCAGGATACATCACCAGTTATTATCAAGTGTACAAGGATTGAACAAATATTATGTGATTCATTATTCGACGATTCTCACTTGCAAATAGAAGATAATGTACAACTTGTTACAAACAATAACCAATCTAATTCGGTTATTCCTAGCAACAAAGGAAGGAGAAAAGGCAAACAAATAAATGAGAAAGGTATAACTTCCTTACATTATTTTCATGTCAAATAAGTGTCCCCATTTTCTTACCTCATCTGTTGTTGACATTAACACATTGTCATTTGTTATATAACATTACCATTTATTGTGTACTTCTAGGTCTGTACAATGGTATACACAATATGGGATCATCAACTTTTATTTGCGAACATTGTGATGCTATGCTTTGGTATGAAGAAAGAGCTGAGAAATCAAAGAGACCTCAAAATCCAACTTTCTCATTATGCTATCGAAAAGGCTCTGTCAAATTTTTTCTCCTCAAGCAGCCTCCCATTTTTCTCTGGAATCTGTTAATTGGTCAGGATAGAAGAAGCAAGAAATTTAAATAAAATATCAGAAGTTATAACTTAATGTTTGCATTTACTTCCTCGGGCGGGACAATTGACAATACATACAATAATGGAGGTGGGCCTTATTGTTTTCGTCTAAATGGTCAAAACCATCACAGGATAGGTTCTTTGAGACCATTCCCTGGAAATAACCCAAAATTCTGTCAGCTCTATATTTATGATACAGATAGTGAATTAGAAAATCATATGAACACATTAAATGATTACATGGAATTGGATTGGAATATAGTTGAAGGACTTCTAACTATGTTAGATTCATGTAATGAAATGGTTAAATGCTTTCGAATGGTGAGGGATAGACTAAAGCAAGATAGTTTAATTCCTATCAAATTGATCATAAAGGTAGCCCAAAGCAGTGATGGCTGACATCCAAACATGCCAACAGCAGGGGAGATTGCTAGCTTAATTGTCGGAAACATTGAAGATATGATTGGCATTCAAGACATTGTCGTTGATGATCATAAATTGGGATTAACAAGGATAAGTGATCTCCACCCAAGCTTTATGGCAATGCAATATCCACTACTTTTTCCATTTGGAGAGGATGGTTTTAGACTTGGCGTGAAACTTAATCAAAACAGCAACAATGCTCAGAAAAAAAAGGAAAGAAGTTACATACATGGAGTATGCTTCATTTCATTTGCAGCAATACCTGACTGAGGCACAAACATTACTCTTATCAGGGAAACTATTACAAACTTACATTGTGGATCTTATGACCTGCATTGAGGAGGAAAGACTTCATTGGGTTAAAGTTCATCAGTCAAAGATTCGTGCGGAGTTGTACTGTGGTATCAAGGATGCACTACATAGAGGAGATACTGAAGGTGCATAAGTAGGTAAGAGAATTGTTTTACCTTCCTCTTTCACTGGGGGACCATGTTATATGACCCAAAATTACCAAGATGCAATAGCTCTTTGCCATGTTATGGGAAACCCTGATCTTTTCATCACGGTAACATCAAATCCAAAGTGGAATGAAATTCTTGAATTTCTCAGAAATAATGGCAGACAGAGACCTGATGAAAGACCAGATATCATCGCAAGAGTGTTCAAGATCAAACTAGATTCATTGATGGAGGATCTACAAAAGAATAATCATTTTGGAAAGTGTATAGAAGGTATGATTTAATTTATCATATTTACATCTCTGATCATTCAGATATAGATATAGATGTAATCACTTTTTAATGAAATAAAGATCATCCAATAGTTTAATTAGCTTCTCAAACAATGTATACTTTCCTCTTGATTACATGCTTAAATTTAGTTTTAAGTACCAGAGCTAAAGCTTACACCATTTTTCTATAATATGAGAAAAAAGTAGTTAATATCAATTACAATGTCTGAAGTAAAACAGTGAAGCAGACACACACTATGATTGTGAGGAAAGGCACGTAAATATCTTCACTTTTTGGTTTATGAAATAAATTCTTCGACTAAAAAAAGGCAAGTCAGGTACCTGATCATGAACCAATTTTATTAATCATTTTTGGCAAGTGTATAGCAGGCCTAATTTAATTTATCATATTTACATCTCCGATCATTCAGATATAGATGCAATCACTTTTTAATAAAATAAATCGACCAGAATATCAATGGAATATAAGAAAATAAACTCCCAGCCACATGTTTTACTTTTTTGAAGATAGACACAAAAAAATATATTACAGGTGAACAAGCGAGTGGGTGCAGGTGTTTGTGTATATGCTCATCTGTGTGCACCTTTACGGCTACATTTATCCATGTGTGCACGTGTTTATGCATTTCTGTATGAAGAAATGTGCATGAGCGCATAAAGGTAAAACGTAGTCATGACATTTTGAAAAATAACCCACATTCTAATTTTGCAATGTATATCTGAAAACAAACACATGTCACACACAAAGTAGCAAAGATTTGATTGCACAAATATTCATATTTCAAATGGAAAAATCCTACTTATGTTATATTGTCATCACTTGCTTCTATGTATGTGTCAGGCCCTTCAAAAACATGATTCTGGAATGACAAAGGCGCAAAACTTTCATGGTGCCCATACATAGTTTCCACCTTCACCTAATCAACATTATAGCACTGTAACAACTCATTTAGATGCAGCCACTGCTCCAAATTTTCATTTCTCTGTAAGCAAGATTGAAATACGAATAGTCATTCTCCTGGCTTCAACAATATAAATTTTGAAACACTACTGGTATCTTGAAACTTATTGAGTGTGAAAAATTAATGTCTCAAATTGGTAATATATCATTATAGACATCATAGCGTCGAATATGTTCCAAAAAGTGGCTGCAGTATGTATTTCTAAAGGGGGCATTCGAATTTAGATGCCAAGGTTCTGATGAAGTTTTAAAACAAATGAAACTCTTTATGCACATAACAAAAATCTACATATAAGAGTTTGATGAGATCTTTCTTTCCATTGTTTAAGCTATGTTTTTTAACTGTAAAAAGACGAACTACAGCTTTAACATAAAAAGGAATATAGACATAGACTTTGTACACATGCAATTAGATTCAAAATTGTTGTTAGGCAAATTAAGTTCTAAATTATGTATATATTATTTAATTTGTCATTGTTTACTAAAATGCATATGTATTTGTTTTTTGACAGCGGTATATACGATAGAATTTCAGAAACGAGGACTACCGCATGCACACATTTGATTTGGCTACATCCTGCTCACAGATATCCAACGCCAGCAAAGATTGATGAAATCATTGTCGCTAAAATACCAGACAAAACAAAAGAACCAGTTGGATATGATGCTGTATCAAAATATATAATGCATGGACCATGTGGACAAGTTGCACCAAGATCTCCATGTATGAAAAAACTGAAGTGCACAAAACATTTCCCTAAGAAATATATCAATCAAACCTGCATTGATGACGTTGGGTTTCCTAGATATCGTAGGAGATGTGATGAAAAGGTTTGGGTTGAAAAAGGAGAAATTATGTTGACAATAGCTATGTGGTATCATACAATCGAAACTTAGTTGTTAAGTATCAAGCCCACATAAATGTTGAATGGTGCAATAGAGGTAGATCAATCAAATACCTCTTCAAATATATCACTAAGGGACCCGATTATGTCTCAGCATCTCTTCAACATAAAAGCAAGAATGCGACATCTTCTTCCAATTCGAAAGAAAGACTTGATGAAGTACAATACTATCTTGATTGTAGATATATATCTGCTCCTGAATCAATATGGAGGATTTATGGCTTTGATATCCACTATCGAAACCCCCTGTTGAAAGACTACCATTTCATTTAGTTGAATAGGAGCCAATAGTTTTCAAAGACATTGATAATCTACAAGATATTGTGAATGTCGTTCAGTCCAAACAAACCAAATTTAAGGGATGGATGGAAGCAAATAAATGCTATCCTGAGGCAAGAGATCTTACATATGCAGAGTTTCCGGCAAAATTTGTGTGGAAGGAAAAGGAGAAATGTTGGAAACCTAGAAAGAAAGGACAAAGCGTCGAACGGATAGTTTATGCACATCCATCATGTGGAGAAAGGTTTTATCTTCGCTTATTACTGAATGTGGTCAAAGGACCAAAGTCATTTGACGATATAAGAGAGTTTAATGGAAAATTTTATCAAACCTATAAGGAGACTTGTGTAGCAATGAGATTATTAGATGATGATAATGAATGGAAACATGCTATAGATGAAGCATCATATTCATCTTCAGGGCGTCAAATGAGAGAGTTATTTGCACAGATACTAATCTTTGGTAAAGTGATAGATCCTAAAAAACTATGGAATGACAATTGGAAGTGTATTACTGAAGGGTTTATTAAGATGTAAAGAAAACTGCTCAATATGCCAACTTTGGATATGATTGATACTCAGCTTCAGAACCATGCTCTTTTAGAAATTCAAGGCCTCTTGCTACAAAATGGCCAGCCCCTACTAAACTTCAGTGGAATGCCCACACCAGATCCCCAACTTTTGAAGCAATGTAGTGATAAACTTATAAGTCAAGAGTTAAACTTCAATAGGGAGGAATTACGAAAAGATCATGAGATATATTTTCAAGGACTGAACATTCAACAACGAGATGTATATAATGCCGTTATTGACTCTGTATACAACAGAAGTGGGGGACTATACCTTTTGTATGGTCATGGAGGGACTGGTAAAACTTATGTGTGGAAATCAATTTGCACAAAACTTCATTCTGAAGGAAAAATAGTCCTTCCAGTCCAATCCTCTGGAATAGAATCAATACTACTACCCCATGGTAGAACTGCTCATTCTCGATTTAAAATACCAATCATATTGAATGAACATTCAACATGTGGAATTAAACAAGGAACTCCAGAGGCAAATCTCATTAAACAGACAGATCTTATTATATGGGATGAGCCTCTAATTATGCACAAATTTACATTTGAAGCAGTTGACAGAAAGCTAAGAGATATTGTGGGAATCCAATGTTGACAGATAAACCTTTCGGTGGCATAACAGTGGTTCTTGGAGGTGATTTTAGGCAAATTCTACCTGTTGTACCAAGAGGCTCAAAATATGATATTATACATGCTACGCTCAGTAGATCTAAGTTATGGAATTATTTCAAAATTTTTAAACTGACACAGAATATGAGGATCCAACATTAATCATTCGATCAGCTAGGAATGAATGCGTCTGAATTCAGTGAATGGGTACTTGAAGTTGGTAATGGGACATTATCTTTCAACGATTGTGAGAAAGAAGAGTCTAAAATTGTAATTCCACAGTAACTTCTACTACAACCAACAAGAGATGCAATAGAAGATATAATTGCATCAACATATCCAGATATTCAACAGAATTGCTATAATCAAAGTTATTTGGAAGAAAGAGCAATACTAACTCCAAGAAATGAGACAGTTGACATCATAAACAATTGTGTACTGGATAAACTAGAAGGAGAATTCACAACATACCTCAGTTCAGATTCTATTTTCCAAACATCTCCAAATCTGCAATTAAATCAATCACTATATCTGACAGACTTTCTTAATTCTTTGACATTTCCTTCCATGCCAAATCATGAGATAAAATTGAAAGTAGGAACTCCAATCATGCTCCTGTGTAATCTAAGCTCTACTGAAGGACTCTGTAATGACACAAGATTAATTGTTACTCAGATATTAAAATGGATCATCGAGGCTAGAATCATCAACGGTAGCCACATAGGTTCAAAGCATTTTCTTTCAAGAACTGTTAGTACAAACACTGGTTCTCAATGGAATTTTCATATAAAACGAAGACAGTTACCAATTAAAACAAGTTTTGCTATGACTATTAACAAAAGTCAGGGACAAACATTGAATTATGTAGGTTTGTACCTTCCAAAACCATGTTTCACACATGGACAGTTTTACGTCGCAGTGTCAAGAGTGATGACTCCTCAAGGTCTTAAAATTCTTTTTGTTGACAATGACGATAATGTAGCTTATGATGGAGTTGCAGTGAATGTAGTTTATCATAAAATTTTCAACAACTTGAATTAAGGTATTATAGGGATCAAACACAATGTAACTAGCATGTGATTATTATATTATAACAGTAGTTTTAACTAGATTGAGTATTAAATAGTGATATGGTATGCAGTATACATATAATACAAATAAACTAACTTATTAAACCTTGGGTCCAATTATGCATTGTAATTTGTGTTCTATTATCTGACATTTCATACAGTTTAATGCTTTATATGTAAATTTTATGATCTATCATACTTATTAATTGGTTACAGGTCTGCACAGTTTAAGATGGAAGTTGGAGTGTACACAGCAATCAAAGATCTTAACATCAAATCAAAAGAGGTTACTATTAAGGCCCGTGTAACAAACATATGGGAGAATATTAACATCAAAACAAAAGAACATTATGGACTGTATATCATCCTCTTGGATGAATCTGTAAGAAATTTATAACCTTTTTAGTCACTTCCATTGATTTCTTTATTGATAAAATTTTCACACGAAATATAATTCATAATTTATATTTCCATCATTCAAGTTTAAATTTTTTATAATATCTATATTTTGTAGGACATTTTAATTCAGGGAAGTATTCATATTAACGAAATGTCTAGATTCCATCCTATATTGGAAGAAGACAGCATTCATGTTCTATCAAAGTTTCGAGTCATTCATTCATTTGGTACTTACAGAGCTATAAGGAACAAGTTTATGATAAGTTTCTACAGGCAGACTTAAATCCGTATCTTGCAAGATTATGAAATTTTAATTCCCAAGTACAAATTCCACTACACGGCATTCAGTAACTTGCCTTCACTCAGCACAAATAAAACTTACTTGACAGGTTGTAATTTTAATTATTGATTCATCTTTTCAATAATACATGTTTTCTGATAGTATTAAATATATTCTATATCTTCAATAGATATCATTGGAATTGTAAAGGAAATATACCCATTAGAACTAACTGCAAATGGACAAAAGAGTTATCCTAGAAGATCACTGAAGTTGATAGATGAAAGGTAAGATTTAGTACGGACATTGTAGGAATATATATAAATAACTCAGCTTCATTTTGTTAAATTATCTTAACAATACTAAATTGCATCTGCCTTGATTACAGCAATGTTGAAATCAAAGCTACATTGTGGAGCAAATTAGCTGTTGACTTGGAAAGCAAACTTCAAAATCAAGACCCGAACAATATGGTCATGATTGTCACTGGTGTTGTCATAAATACTTTTAGAGGTAATATGAATAACTTAAACCAATAATATTTATACAAATCAACTAAGCTTTATGGAATAATTTAAAAATAAAAGCTATATTTTCTTCAGGTCAATTCTCAGTATCAGCAAGTACAGGTTCAAAAGTTTACATAAACATTGAAGAGTCACATGTATTGGAACTATCACATAGGTAATCTTTAAGTTGTATATATGGCAATAATTAGCCATTATTTTTTTGGTAAACATTAAAATTATTGATGTACACATGCACATGTACTATAAGATTTGCAACATCCACAATATGATTTACTTTCACATCATTTTCCAATTCTTATACATAATTTCTAATAAAATATGTATATGTACAAAAATACGGACTCTGAAACTGAATTGCAAGTTATTGCCACACCAGTATACTTCAGTCCAAGTCAAACAAAGTTAATGAAATCTAAACTAGCAACTTTGATGGAATTTATATACTCTGAAGACCCAAAAATAGCCGAAGTAAGTTACAAAAACACTCAAATGATGAACCAAATTTTATTTTTTCAAGAAAATAGACCTCATTATCATGAATTTGTGTAGGTCTATCATTTCTTATGTCAGGTGAAAATTATTGGCATGCTTGAACAAAAATGGAGATACCATGGATGTCCATATTGCAACAAGAAAACAATGGAATTAGGAAACACCTATTGGTGCAGACAATGTAACAAGGAAGTCCTAACAGAGAACAAGTAAGCAATTAATTTATTTCATGCTACAAATAAAATTTTCTCACTCTCTTTATATTCTGAGTAATTTTTTTTTCTAAATATAAACTTATAAATATGTATAGAATAACATTAGATGTGGAAGATAGAACTACAGTCAGTACATTCGTTGTCTTTGGAAAGGAAGCAGAAAATTTAATTAAAGTTTTAGCCCAGGAGGTATCAAGGACAATAGAATATGTAAGCTCGACCTCTAATATCAAACTGCTTCACATTAGAAGATAAATGTATTAAGAAGTGTGTAACTGATGCGTGATTTTGTGCAAAACAATGAAAGGGAGATATTCCCAGAGATTATCAAATCAATTATTGGGAAGACTATAAAAGTTCAAGTTAAGCTAACAAAGTATAACTTCGAAGAAGGTAAGCAATTCTTTAGTTTGATTAATGATCTAATACATTTATCTAATATATCGCAATAATATCCTACAAATTTAAAGATAGCTTTACATCTGTTTTTCATAGTTTTATTTTTATAATGATGAAACAGTCAATGAGAGCTTCACTGTTACAAAACTTATCGAAGCTATTAAAGGTGATTCACAGGTACAAACCTAAATTTGAAGTTATCGAACTTATCAAAGTTATTAGAAATGCTGGTTATTTTAGTGACAATATATAGTAAATTACATCTAATTTTCTCTACAAAGGAATCCCAAGAAGTTGAAGTTGTTGATCTACATGAAGAGGCTCTCCTACAAACACCTAAACATATTTCAAAAGATAAAGTTGTGTTCACACCCTTGACTAACACACCGCTCAAGCCAAAGATGGAAAAGATTTTCAAAAGTTCACATTTAAGGATAAATGATCTTGGAGATGACGAGAACATTCAAAGGAATTCTACTGTCAAAAAAACTGAAGGTTAAGTTGATTAGCAATCATTTGTTACATGTTGTATGCACTATATGAATACAATATCATAAAAAGCTCAATATCTATTTTGTGCTGTTGTAGATCTCAAAAGAAAAAGAACTTCCAATGACTATGGCAAGGAGAACTGGATCTGAATTTTTAATGGAGTTGCTACCATGTTTTTGTGCCCAAACCTGATGAATTTATTTTGGTCTTCATATTTTCTTCAGTAAAGCTTAATACCATAGTGACTTTCTGAATGAAAATTGCTTTGACACACTCGGTGTGGTTATATGTATTAGTCTAACTTTAAGGTTATTTTGGAGTAGGTACTTTACTATGTTTAAGAACTCACATGCATGAATGAATGGTAGTTGAATATTGAGCATGGTCCTGTGTTTATGTGCAGATAACATTATAGCAATTTCCATGTTTATGCAGCCTTTTTTTCTATGTCTATGTAGAGAAAGTACCCTCTCAACATTTACTCGAGCAGTTCTCTGCCTTTAGTATGAATAAAAGACACAAAAGAGAGTTAAGAGTTCAAAATTGGACTAACAACGCTCATCTTAAGCAGGTATGATATCATTGAGCAACTTATAGGTAATTTATATATATGCCCAATTTTATTTATAGATTTCACCAAATTAGTGCATACATTCAATAGGATTCTAAGAGAGGAAAAACATCAACTTATAACATTAAACTCATAAACTTCATGAGAAAATAGAGTTCTTAAAACATAATTTTTGTGAAACATAACATTTGAATTAATAAATTATGAACTATCTATACTACTGATAATAACTTTTTCATCATACATGTAGGAATACTCACAGAGAGAACAACTTACAGTTGGTGACTTTGTCTGTGAATTTCTCCGATACTCAACCAGAGACAATAAAGGCTTCGGAAGCAACAATTTATGATGTTGTATATTCTGATGCTCTAGGAACTTCACAGGTAATACAAATCTATCAATTTATTCAAATTATAAAGATATTGTTGCTGACTACATGATAAAACAAGCTCTTTCAATTATAAAAGCTATATGATAAAACCAGCTCTTTTAACTATATATGTCAATTATATAAGCTACAAAATAGCACCAATTCCTACTAAAATTAGAGCTAAACAAGCTTGAATTCATCACCAAAATCTATGAGGACTTGCTAGGGCTCAGGATAAAAATAGATTGGTCATAAAAGATTGTCTCTCCTTAAAAACTATGATACAATGTAGGCTGCTATTATGAGGGATTACATCACCCAAACATTGTAATATCAATGTAGGTTGCATTCCATATAGAATTTCCTCGCCTAAACATTACATACATAATTAAAATATGATGCATTCTCAATTTGTTATCATCATCACTGCCCATCTAAAAAAACATAAAACAAAAGAACACATACCAGAATTGAGTACCAAAGAAAGCCATCTGTCATTAAGCTCAAACCGACCATTATATACCACAAGAAGCCAACAACCGATACCTCAATGTAAGCATAAAAAGCGAACAATAACAATTAGCAACAAGAATCAATAAAGCCTTTTAATTTGTAGTTATAACTGATATATTCCTTTCCTCAAAACATCAAACAAATTAAGAATGTACATACAAACTTTTCATGTTACCCTGTCACACTAAATGGTGGATGCACTAGAACAAAGAAACTTAATGATAATAGCATAAGTATTTTATTTGTCATTTTAATTTGTCATTGTATACTAAAATGCATATGTATTTGTTTTTTGACAGCGGTATATACAATAGAGATGTTGAAACGATGTAAAGACTATAAAGATAAATCAATATAAGTATTTTCACTCTAAGATACAAAAAATTAACCATGTCCTAAGATTATGACAATGAAACAACACAAAGTATTTAAAATACACTAATTAAAAACTTACCAGCGTTGATCACTTAAAGGTAATTTTTTCCTTGCGATAAATTTCAACTTGATCAAGCTTTCATTTTAACTTATGCATGCAATTCTTTCCTTGTGATAATTTTCTTGTAAAGTTCACACCTCTTATAGCCATTTGAGCAGCAGTTAATAAGAAAGATCTCTACTGCCTCAAATTTACTCAAGCAGTTCCTTGCCTTTAATATGAAGAAAAAGCCACAAAAAAGAGTTAGTTAAGACTTCAAATTGGACTAACAACACTCATCTCAAGCAAGCAATTTAAATGAGCAACTTATAGGCAATATATATATATATATATATATATATATATATATATATATATCCCCAATTTTATTTACAGATTTCAACAAATATTGTATACTAAAATGCATATGTATTTGTTTTTTGACAGCGGTATATCTATTCCTTTATACAAATACTAGGATCAAAGAATAAACTTCATGAGAAAATATAGAATGCTTAAAACTTAATTTTAATTATGACATTAATTCATTTGACTATATGTGGTGTCGTAATTTATTCACATGTAGACTATTTCATTTAACTATATTTGTGGGAATAAATTACCCTTTGCATTAATGTATATAGCTTATTAGGATATCAAAAAATTGAGAACAATTCTTAAATAATCTGAATCCATGTAAAGACTATAAAGATAAGTCAATTATTATAAGTATTTTCACTCTAAGATACGTCTTTCAAAAATTAACCATGTCCCAAGATTATGACACAGAAACAACACAAAGTAAATAAAATACACTAATTCAAAACTTACCAACGTTGATAACTAAAACGTAATATTTTCCTCAAAATAAATGTCAACATGATCAAGCTTTCATTTTAACTCATGCATGCAATTCTTTCCTTGCTATAATTTTCTTGCAAAGTTCACCCCTCTTATAGCCATTTGACCAACAGTTAAGAAGGAAGATCTCTACTGCCTAGAATTTACTCAAGCAATTCCATGCCCTTAGTATGAAGAAAAGACAGAAAAGAGAGTTAGTTAAGACTTCAAATTGGACTAACAATGCTCATTTCAAGCAAGCAATTTAAATGAGCAACTTATAGGCAATTTATATATATTTCCAATTTTTATTTACAGATTTCACCAAATTAGTGCATCCATTCAATAGGATTCTAAGAGAGGAAAAACATCAACCTATAACATTAAACTCATAAATAAGTGCATCAATAGTTTATACTTTCTTTTTCTACCATCTACCCGTTGGTCAACAAGAACTTAAAAATAAATTTCAAAACATTCAAAGCTTTTAACTGTTACAATTCATCGTTCTAGAAAAGGAACTCCATAATGCATTTTCCTCGCTAAACATAGCTTGTTCTTTCCATGTGACTGATTATCCTTACATATTTTTTGTTTATTGTTCTATCGAAATTCCTACCAATTCAATAACTGAAGGGGATCATTTTTCTCCACCGTATCCCCCAGCATTGTTGTGAGTTATTATTGAATCATGTGATGAATAACGTTCCTCATGGTTCCCACGGACGGCGAAGTATTTGCTCTTAGATGCTGCCACTTGATGCCTAAACCACTCGTCAATCTCATTTGCAGTGCACAGGAAATGGTGCTTATAATGCTTTTTTACTTGTTTGATTTTGTTTGATATAAAACATTTGATATTCCTTAGTAGGGGGAAGCTATCAGACAAATTATTCTGAAGATATATCTTTCAAGGAGTAAATGCAAAAGAAAATTGACCAACGGGCTTATTGGACTCCATCAATAAATGGTGCAGGTTATCAATAAGCTACCTGCGAATTTAATATCTTGCAAGTTCCATTTATATTTTACAGATCCAACATTACTGATATTCATCTAGCTTAGATTACAAAGCAGTAGTTGCGTTGAGAAACCAATCTGGAAGTCCTAATCTTGTGGTTACCTTTTACAGGTGAAGAGTACGATTCTTCTATTATTTATTGTATGTAACATTTCACATATGAATCCTAATCGGCTTCTTGTATGTTGTGTAGACATCAAAATATTGAATACTAATCGCCCGCTTTCTAGGATTATAATCCTATTGAAAGGATGCATATATATATATAATAACCTTTGTATACTTGCAATTGAGTGAGTGATATGGTTTCTGATCCTCCAATCTTCTAGGATTACATTCTTTCAGATCACTCGAAGGATTTCTTTTCATAATCGATTGAGATTTTGGGCTTGGACCAATAAGACCCCATATCACTCACTCAATTCTCCAAGCATTAAAGGGCAAAGCAAATGCAAAAATTATTTTAGTATGAGATAGGAGGTAACTAATCTACCATTGGAGCTCCAACACTAATCCACCATGTCTAAACTCTACTATGAACGAGAAAAATATAATTGTACGATATGAATATCAATGTCATAGCAACCAGTGTGACAAACAGACGGAAGTTAAACATAAGTATTGTTTCCTTAAGTTCTGTATACACTCCACAAGACATCTGGTAGAACATTTAGTATGCCTTTCCCCTGTCGCTCCTATGCTCAAACCCCTTCCGATTGCAAGTATACAAGGGTGTAACAAATAAAACGATATTGTTTTTCTTGCAAAGTTCACCCCTCTTATAGCCATTTGACCAACAGTTAAGAAGGAAGATCTCTACTGCCTAGAATTTACTCAAGCAATTCCATGCCCTTAGTATGAAGAAAAGACAGAAAAGAGAGTTAGTTAAGACTTCAAATTGGACTAACAATGCTCATTTCAAGCAAGCAATTTAAATGAGCAACTTATAGGCAATTTATATATATTTCCAATTTTTATTTACAGATTTCACCAAATTAGTGCATCCATTCAATAGGATTCTAAGAGAGGAAAAACATCAACCTATAACATTAAACTCATAAATAAGTGCATCAATAGTTTATACTTTCTTTTTCTACCATCTACCCGTTGGTCAACAAGAACTTAAAAATAAATTTCAAAACATTCAAAGCTTTTAACTGTTACAATTCATCGTTCTAGAAAAGGAACTCCATAATGCATTTTCCTCGCTAAACATAGCTTGTTCTTTCCATGTGACTGATTATCCTTACATATTTTTTGTTTATTGTTCTATCGAAATTCCTACCAATTCAATAACTGAAGGGGATCATTTTTCTCCACCGTATCCCCCAGCATTGTTGTGAGTTATTATTGAATCATGTGATGAATAACGTTCCTCATGGTTCCCACGGACGGCGAAGTATTTGCTCTTAGATGCTGCCACTTGATGCCTAAACCACTCGTCAATCTCATTTGCAGTGCACAGGAAATGGTGCTTATAATGCTTTTTTACTTGTTTGATTTTGTTTGATATAAAACATTTGATATTCCTTAGTAGGGGGAAGCTATCAGACAAATTATTCTGAAGATATATCTTTCAAGGAGTAAATGCAAAAGAAAATTGACCAACGGGCTTATTGGACTCCATCAATAAATGGTGCAGGTTATCAATAAGCTACCTGCGAATTTAATATCTTGCAAGTTCCATTTATATTTTACAGATCCAACATTACTGATATTCATCTAGCTTAGATTACAAAGCAGTAGTTGCGTTGAGAAACCAATCTGGAAGTCCTAATCTTGTGGTTACCTTTTACAGGTGAAGAGTACGATTCTTCTATTATTTATTGTATGTAACATTTCACATATGAATCCTAATCGGCTTCTTGTATGTTGTGTAGACATCAAAATATTGAATACTAATCGCCCGCTTTCTAGGATTATAATCCTATTGAAAGGATGCATATATATATATAATAACCTTTGTATACTTGCAATTGAGTGAGTGATATGGTTTCTGATCCTCCAATCTTCTAGGATTACATTCTTTCAGATCACTCGAAGGATTTCTTTTCATAATCGATTGAGATTTTGGGCTTGGACCAATAAGACCCCATATCACTCACTCAATTCTCCAAGCATTAAAGGGCAAAGCAAATGCAAAAATTATTTTAGTATGAGATAGGAGGTAACTAATCTACCATTGGAGCTCCAACACTAATCCACCATGTCTAAACTCTACTATGAACGAGAAAAATATAATTGTACGATATGAATATCAATGTCATAGCAACCAGTGTGACAAACAGACGGAAGTTAAACATAAGTATTGTTTCCTTAAGTTCTGTATACACTCCACAAGACATCTGGTAGAACATTTAGTATGCCTTTCCCCTGTCGCTCCTATGCTCAAACCCCTTCCGATTGCAAGTATACAAGGGTGTAACAAATAAAACGATATTGTTGAGGGTATCTTGTATATTTGATATACGCTCATTGGCCTGAATTGATTCCAAATATGCGGACCTTGTGCATGTTCGGGAACTTTGCGATAACCAGTACCAACACTGCTACAGTGTTAAAGAAAAGCATAGGATTCTGATAATCAGTTGTGTGTGAAGCAATCAAGTACCTGCAATATAGCTTAATATTAGAAAAATAAATAATTACTACGAATACGTAACTTTTGCAAGCTTGGTTCAGTTTTGATACAAACTATAAAGAAACATTTGGAGGCCTCAGTGCGAGTTGCCTCAGGGAATTAAAATCTGATGACAGGATTGACCACGGAATTAAGAAAAAGTCAGACCAAGACTCTTGATATCCACAAATTTAAATCATAAGCTATTTAGTCATACAGATCTTACTCATCCAAACTTGATTAAATTAACAAAAAAAAAAAAAAAGATTTTGCAATTCTTCTATCAGAACCTAATGATTGTCCTGCCAAAGCCACCACCGCTGAGACTACGCAAAAATGCACGCTCCTGTGAACTAGCTGCACAAAATTGTGGAACACAACAATCTCTGATGTATATCAAAATTCTAAATCTTCAGTTACTTTAGTCTTCAGAAACTCTAATGATGTAAAATACTTAACTTCATTCTCCCAAGGATCAACGAAGAGTGATAGAAATGTCAAAACTTTAATAGAAAGAAACAATGGGAGAAGCTGTACTCCAGAAAGAAGAGGAAAAATACAGAATGGGAGCCAGAAAATTGGTAAGTATGCTAATAAGGTGCAGTTTGGTCAACTGTATTAGTGTATTTCATCCACGCTAAGCAATCCAAGGGAGAATGCCCCCAGATACCACAATTTAAGACTAAAATGTTCTGCATAAGTTCACTTTATTTTATTTCATTGTTTCTCTTCTTTTTTCTTTTGTGGCATTGAACTCAACTAGAAAAGATGTTCTCCCCCTTTATCATTTGGATCAGCCGTGGCCAAACCAAATCAGCACGGATGACATGTTCTAGTTCCAGACAATATTTTAGATATTATTTTCAACAAGCTATTTAGCCATGGGTTAAGAAATGGTCTCAAAAGTATAATACTCTGTAAACTCAACTCAATGAGTTTGTAATATATCTTCTAGGAATAAATACACAATTACATGAATTTAAGATGAAATTGAGTATAGAAAATAAACTGATCAGTATGTATGGTCATAATACTTCGAGTTATTATGTAGTAATAAACATGCATACATAAACATTTGAATACATGTAAAATTAATAATAGTAGCTTGCACCAATTAATTGGTTAGTATCTACAAAGCCCTAGTATGATACTTAATCAGAAAATAATACAAACTGTTTTGATTTGTTTAAAAGAAAATAATGATTAACAGTTCCAATATATAAACAACCAAGTTCAAAAACCAAGCTTGAAATTCAAATAGACGAGTCCTGGAAACTACAAATAACATGAAAAAACTAAAACTGATGAAAAATATATCAAAAAAGCTTTAATCAGTTACTAATTTGTCCTATTCCTTTCTTAGGCTGAAAGTTATTTGATTCAAATCAGTAACACACCATGAGTCATTCGCAGGAACTAGATCAAAATTTGAGCTTATTTGGTGCTTTCCTGATTCGTAGATCTGATGAAAAAATATATCAAAAAAGCTTTGATCAGTTAGTAATTTGTCATTTCCTTTCTTAGGCTGATAGTTACTTGATTCAAATCAGTAACACACCATGAGTCAGTCACAAGAACTAGATCGAAATTTGAGGTGATTTGTTGCTTTCGTGATTCGTAGATGATTCCTAAATAATTGATATAAGGCGGACTTAAATTTCAATATCTATCACTATAGTGTGTTAAGTTATGCATATATAATTGAAACATAGACCAGAAAAAGCTGAGCCGTGTATTAGTTTTTCAAGATGTTACTCCCTATAGATATGCTTGTCACAAGTTGAGGGACAATCTGAAGAGCAATTTGATACTTTTACAGGCATCTGCTGAGGTTCTGCGAGTCATAAAGCCTAGACATTAGAGTCCTCTTGGCAGTAAATTGCTTATTATTAATTTGGTTAATTTCCTATGCAGCTTCCAAGATTTCAAGGCATAAAACAGGGAACTGCCAGTAGACATATAGCAGCAAGTTTACCATCCCCATTTCTTCTTCCTCTTCCACCTCTTCTTCAGCTCTATCTTTAATTTCTTCCCTTTCTCTTGTTTCTCTTTCTTAATGAACAGTAGTTCATAATCATTTTCTTATTGACCATAGTTTATTGTCAAAAGTTGAACCATAAGGAATCTGCTGGAAACCTGAACAAATTTGCCTATGCTATCACAGTTCACTACCTAACACTAGCTGATTTGATAACCATAACAAAAATTTTAAACTTTCTTTCTGGGAGTAAAATAAGGTGCCAATGTAAGTGTAAACCATGCATTTAACTTATTAAAAGAGTTTTATTAAGATAATCAAATCTCTTTTATCTAGCATCGGACTTCCTTGGAAGAATAACTCGTCAATAGTTTCATTTATCCGAATGCAAAACGTAACCCGATAAAGGAGATGTTGAAGTTGTATAGTTATTTATTTTTCCCTTTTACCAGTTTTCTTGTGAAGGTATCTCAACCTAAGTCTCTTCCCCCTAATCCACTCAAAGGTTAAAAAAATAAAATAATGGGAAACAGCTAATTCTCATAAGGTCCAGTCCAGAGGCTAAAAGTAATATTCAGCCTCAAATCTTTTTAGAAAACAAGTGTACTGATACACACAACCCATTAAGCACAACAAAGAATAAGCTTGATGAATTTCATTTCCTACTCTAAAAGTCTTGCAAGAATATGCATATAAAGGTGACTTTTGTCAGTGATCATATGGTTGAGATCCTCTAATAGCTTAAAAAGAGATCGACGAGAGTTATAAAAAGAGAAAAAGAGAAGCCAGAGAATAATATGGTAAAGTACACATTTACAGTTTGCAAAATGGCAAGGTACATACATACAGTTCGCGAAGTGCAAAAGCATAAACTTGATAACCAATGTAAGTTAGAATGGAAAAAGGCAGTCTTCATATATTAGATCTTTTAACCAAAATGCCACATAGCAAATTATCACCGCAAAACCCACCAAAGCAAAGCTTCACATTGAGCCTTTTAAAACTTGTACAGATTATTATAAAAAATTCATAGGAAATTAATAGCTTACTATTTCCTAGGTGCGGTCATCATAGAAATCTTACTGGTTAATGAAAATTCTAAACAATCCTAAACTGAAGTGATATTAATATGACCTGAACTTTGTGCCTTAGTTTGTCTAAAAAATTCGCTGAAATTCAGAACCATAACAAAAAAAGTAAAATGAAAAGAAGAAACATGGAACCTGAGATCACCTTGAAACTTAGAGCTCTAAAATAAATAGAACTCTTTTGCTTAGCAGAGGTTTGATAGACATTTAAAACTCTGTACACACTGAATAATGGTTTGCTATCTTTTTTTTTAATTTATTTTTTATACAGCACATGCTCATTTTGCGCATAATGAGGAAACAAATAGATTTCCAAGGTTTTTATTGATATGCTTTGCTTTAAGCTCTTACTTTTATTTTCGGTTGATATTACAAAGATAAACTAGCCCTTTATATAGGCGCTAGAGTAAGAAAGATTCATGAAACTTCGACTAGGAAATTAAAAACTACTATGGCTTAAATATCTAGTATTATTCCTAGACTTTATTAAGTGCATTACTTTAGGTTTGAACTTCAATATAGTACTCCAAAATGCCACCTCAAACCTAGTGTAGTCATGTTGAGTTTCTCTTAACCTTCTGAATGCGTCTGTCAATAAAGGCTTTGTGAATATACCTGCAACCTGGTTCATTGTGCAACAGTACTCAAGAACAATGTATCCCTACTTAACATTGATCCTAGAGAAAATGAAATCTTGTATCAATGTGTTTACTTCTCCCATATTGTAATGTATTCTTGGAAAACTTTAGGACTCACTTGTAATCCACATATATCATTGCAAGTCTTTCTTGAGGATACTCCAACTTTTTCAAGACATTCCTCAGCCAAATTGCTTCAAAAATAGTGGATGTTGTTGCTATATACTGTGTCTGACAAGCTAATAAAGCTACAATGCCCTATTTCTTTAAGGACAAAGAAAAAATTATTATACCAAGGTAAAAGATATACAGTGTATCTCTTTTCGCTCATCTTGATCGCCTCCCCAATCATTAAAAATAGCCGAATAGTTTTGCATCTTCTACATATGCACAAATAGCAGAGCTACTGCTATATAACCTGTCTCACATGTTGATAATGCAACAATGTCCTGCTTCTTTGAGGGCTCAGACTAAGTCATATATCATGGTAAAATATATACACTGTAGGGCTTTTCCTCTCATCTTGATCTGCTCCCCATTCGCTATCGGAATAGCGGAGTAGTTTTGTGTCTTCTTCATAAGCATAGAAGAGATCATAGTTCATAGTTTCATAAATCTGCTTATGGGCCCTACATCATCAATAATGTCAAGCCTAGTGATTGTGAGGTATCTCAAGCTTCTAACCAAGCTCTTGTAGTGAGTTGGCACAACAATTCCAGTATCTCCTTCTTTAAGAAGTTTGATACCTATAACAGGCATGTTCACTAGGTTGCAGCTATCCATCTTGAATTTTTCAACTATCTCCCACGCATATTTCTTCTACTATATGAAGATCTCATTAGGTCGTTAATGCATTTCAATGCTGAGAAAGTAGGTACATAAATCCACAATATGGCATTTACAACTCCTAGAACATGACCTTTTGAGCTTCTAGAACATCTTCTCATTGTTTCTTGTATAATAATAGATCATGAAAATAAAAGCATATAATTAAGAATATCTCCATTATTGTCTTTCTTTATATAAACTGGATGCTCAAGGGCATTTACTGATGTTGTTACCCTGAAGATAACTATCAATGCAGGCATTCCCTGGTCGTGGTTCCTACTTCAAACCATAAAATGTTTTCTTCAAACAATACGCTCAATCTACTTCCCCTTGTACTATGAAACCATCAGCTTGTTCGATGTATAATTCTTCCTTGAGGTCACCATTGGGAAAAAGATGACTTCACATTTAACTGGTAAATTTTAAGCTATGATATGCCGCAAGTGAGATCAACAATCC